TACACATTATTTGTATATATTTTTTCATGTTTGAAATGCAGGGAACTTTAAATCATGTCTTACTAGGAAAAAACTTTTGGGGTGCCTGGCTGGCTCTGTGAGAGCATTTCACTCTTGATTTCAGGGTCAAGAATTTGAGCCCCATGTTGGGGGTAGAGGTTACTTTAAAAAAATCATATGTATACACACACACACACACACACACACACACACGTATAATTTTCTTTTTGGTTTTTAGCAGTTTCATTGAGATATAATTTATATACCATGAATGTGACCCACTTAAAGTATACAATTCATTGGTTTTCACAGAGTTGTGCTATCAACACTATATAATATTGGAACATTTTTGTCCCTCCAAAAAGACCATACCTGTTAGCAGTCACTCCCCATTTTCCACCTCTCCCCTTGCTCTCCTGCGGCCCCTCATAACCACTAATCTACTTTCTTTCTCTATGAATTTGACTGTTCTAGCTATCTCATATAAATGGAATCTTATAGTAATTGTCCTTTTGGGTCTGGCTTATTTCACTTAACATATTTTCAAGGTTCATCCAAGTTAGAGCACGTACTTCATTCCTTTTCACTGATGAATATTTTATTGTCCACACATACCACATTTGTTTATGGATTCATCAGGTGATGGACATTTGAGTTATTCCTGTTTTTTTAACTATCATGAATAATGCTGTTGTGAGTGTTCATGAACAAGTTTTGTAAGTACATATGCTTTCCACACGTATGTTTCTTTTGGGGACATGCCTAGGAGGGGAATTACTGAGTCTTAAAGGAAGTGTATATTTAACATTTTGAGGAATGGGCAGACTGTTTTCTAAGCAGCTTACATCATTTTACAGTCCCACCAGCAATGTATGAGGATTTTAATTTCTCTATGTCTTCAACAATACGTGTGATGATTCATCTTTCCAATTAGAGCTACTCAAGGGTGTATTAGGTCGGGTCACCATAACGCAATCCCACAGACCAAATGGCTTAAATAACGGAAAGATTTCTCATGGTTCTGGAGGGTGGGAAGCCAAGATCATGGTGCCAGCCACTTTGGTTCCTGGTGAGACTCTATTCCTGGCTTGTAGGGAGACACCATCTTGCCGTGTGCTAACATCGTGACTTCTTTGTATGTGTGAAGAAAGAGAGACCTATGGTCTCTCTTCTTCTTATAAGAACACTAATCCTATTGGGTTAGGGTCCTGCCCTTATGACTTCAATTAACTTAGTTACCTCCATAAAGGTCCTGACTCCAAATACAGTCACATAGGAAGTTAGGACTTCAACATACAAATTTTGAAAGGTTACAAACATTCAGGCCAGGACTTAGAAAATACAAAGTACTGTCTCATTGTGGGTTTGATTTGCATTTGCCTAATACTAACTACTTGAGCATCTTTTCATATGTTTTATTATCCATTCACGTATCTCCTTCGGGGAAGTGTTTATTCAAATCTTCTGTCCATTTTTAAATTTGGTTTTTGTCTTTAGTATTGAATTGTGAGAATTTTTTAACAAATTCTGGATACAATCCCTTTATCAGATATATTATTTGCAAAAGATATATTTCCTAAAGTAAACATTTTAAATTATGAAAGTCAACAAAAATGGGGGTGCCTGCTGGCTCAGTCAGTAGAACATGCAACTCTTGATCTCAGGGTGGTGAGTCTGAGCCCCATGTGGGGTGTAGAGCTTACTTAAAAATAAAATCTTTAAAAAGGAAGTCACCAAAAATGCAAAAAAAAAAAAATCAGAATTATCAAAAGAACAAAAACAAATTATATCACAAAAGAATTGTAGAATTATCAAAACAAAGTATCATTTAAAATGACATAAAAAAATGGGGCACCTGGGTGGCTTGGTCGGTTAAGCATCCGACTTCGGCTCAGGTCATGATCTCATGGTCCGTGAGTTCGAGCCCCGCGTCGGGCTCTGTGCTGACAGCTCAGAGCCTGGAGCCTGTTTCAGATTCTGTGTCTCCCTCTCTCTCTGCCCCTCCCCTGTTCATGCTCTGTCTCAAAAATAAATAAACATTAAAAAAAAATTGTTTTTAAATAAAAATAAAATAAAATGACATAAAAAAAGATCAAATATGGGTGGCTCTGTTGGTTGAGCATCTTACTCTTGACCTCAGCTCAGATCATGATCCCAGGATCTCAGGATCCAGCCCCATGTCAGGCTCTGCACTGAGCGTGAAAACTGCTTAGGATTCTCTCTCTGTCTCCCATTGCCCCTCTCCCTCCTTGTGCACTCCCCCCACCTCTGAAATAAATAAGTGAGGGGCGCCTGGGTGGCTCAGTCGGTTAAGCGTCCGACTTCAGCTCAGGTCATGATCTTGTGGTCTGTGAGTTCGAGTCCCGCGTCAGGCTCTGTGCTGACCGCTCAGAGCCTGGAGCCTGTTTCCGATTCTGTGTCTCCCTCTCTCTCTCTGCCCCTCCCCCGTTCATGCTCTGTCTCTCTCTGTCTCAAAAATAAATAAATGTTAAAAAAAATTTAATAAAAAAAGAAAAATAAAATAAATAAGTGAGCAAATAAGTAAACAAATAATTTTTTTAAAATCAAATATCCCTGTCACATCAAAAAAAAAAAAAAAAAAACGAAAATGTGCTTATGTACCTTTTAGAAATAAACAGATTTTCAGATTAGATCACAAAGCAGAAGCCAAACTTTATAGTATGTAAAAGAAATACACCTAAAACAAAATGATTCACAAAGGTTGAAAATAAAAGAATGGGCAAAAGTAAACTGGACAAATGCAGATTAAAAGAAAGCAGGGATTGGGATCTTAATATCAGGCAATAGGAATTCATGCCAAACACACATAAAATGAGACCAAGTGGTGCTACTTACAATATTAATTGATATGGTTTACAAAGTCAGGGATAGACAGGCTCTGAAAGCACAGTGGCAATAGTCAAAGAACAGATATTACAAAAGATACAACAGAATTAGATACATTTACCTTAGGAGACTTTAATTGCATCTCAGGGTCCAGAGCAGATCACATAGACTTTTTAAAAAGGATGTGAGGATATGGACAACACAAACAACATGATAAGGTAGAACTGGTCAATGTTATCACATTTCTTCGAGTGTAAGATGTCATCAGCTGTGAAACCTATCACTTTTTTGGTAGCCCTGAGACAATGAATGTTATCATTCACAAGTGTGACACAAGGGGGCGCCTGGGTGACTCGGTTCGGCTAAGCGTCCAACTCTTGACTTCTGCTCAGGTCATGATGGAAAGTGAGATCAAGCCCTGCAAGGAGCTCTGCAATGATAGTGCGGGAGCCTGCTTGAGATTCTCTCTCCCTCTCTCTCTGCCCCTCCCCTACTCGTTCTCTCTCTCTCTCTCTCTCAAAATAAATAAGTGACTTGGAAAAAATAATAAAGTGTGACACAATGCCTTAATTGTAGCCTGCAAAATGCACGAAAAAGAACATCAACTGTGTGTTGTGAAATTTATTTCAGCTCTTTTGAGGGACTTGGCAATTTCTCCTAAATTCGTTTGCTCTCTCTGGTGTGCAACAAGTTTACTCCTGCACATATCTCAGGAACAAAATGTCACACAGATCCATCCACTCATACCTCACTGTCACTTATTATTTGAAGGTTCTACCAAGTCTTTGGTTATTTTTACAAGAAAATGTGGAATTATAGCAATTCTTCCATCAACAATATTTGCTCTACTAATATCAAGTTTATACCTTTCAGCTTTATTTCCAAGCTTTGCTCTGTGCCCAGTAACTTTTAGTTTCAGGGCCAAAACATATACTATAATCTTTTCGCCCATATTTAAAATGGTAATTAAACCCAACATGTATAGAGCCAGCAATGCAAACATAACTCAGCTGAAGTGTAATGATATAAACAGCTGTGACCACGTTTGTCCATGTGCCAGCAATAACAACCACATTACAAGTGCCATCTGGCCAAAAGGAATTATAAGATGCCAAAAATTGAAAGATGAATCCCAATCAGGGATTTTAAAATGTAAAAGAAAGACATTGTGACTCAGATGCAATAAAACCCGGTATACCGTGTTCCCTTAAAGTCGATAATATATCTGCATTTCAAGGGCCCTTTGAACCCTAACCATATCTGGGTCCCCAAAAGAGCCTGAACAGAGTTCAAACAGTGGATGCAATTCAAGCCACACTCTGCAATCACAATTCAAGAAAGCTAGACTTACACACATTATCAGAAAAGAAAGGCCCTTCCATCCAAACATGTAAAGAAAACACATTCTCTTATATCTTGAATCAAGAGGGATGTACTGGGGCCACCTGGGTGGCTCAGTCGGTTAAGCGTCCAACTTCGGCTCAGGTCATGAATGCACAGTCGGTGGGTTCGAGCCCCACATCAAGCTCTGTGCTGACAGCTCAGACCCTGGAGTCTGCTTCAGATTCCGTGCCTCCCTCTTTCTCTGTTCCTTCCTCTCTCTCTCTCTCTCTCTCTCTCTCTCTATCAAAAATAAACAAATCATAGATTTGTTTTCTTCTAGGAGTTTTACAGTCTCACATCTTGGGTGTGAGTCTTCAATCCAGTTTGAGTTTATTTTTGTGTATGGTGTAGGATACGGGGTCCACTTTCATTCTTCTTCTTTTTTAAGTTTATCTTATTTATTTTGAGAGAGAGAAAGAGAGCACACAGGAGGGGCAGAGAGAGAGAGAGAGGGAGAGAGAGAGAGAGAGAGAGAGAGAGAGAGAGAGAATCCCAAGCAGGCTCTGCACTGCCAGCACAGAGCCCATTGAGGGCCTTGAACTCATGAACCACGAGATCATGACCTGAACCAAAATCAAGAGTCAGACGCATAACCGCATAACCGACTGAGTCACCCAGGCGCCCCTCCAGTTTCATTCTTCTACATGTGGCTGTCGAGTTTTCCCAACACTATCTATTGAACAGATAGTCCTTTCCCCCACTGTATATTCTTGGCTCCTTTGTCCTAGGTTAATTGGCCATGTAAGCTTTTGTAGGTTTATTTTGTTCCACTGATAAGATGTGTCTGGTTTTTTTTTTTGTTTGTTTGTTTGTTTGTTTGTTTTTTGCCAAAACCACTGTTTTGATCCCAGATTGGATTAAGCCCCACCCGAAAGGCCTCCTTTTAGCTTAATTACCCCTGTAAAGGTTCTGTCTCCAAATACAGTCACATTCTGGGGTCCTGGGGGTCAGGGCTTCAATATATGAATTCTGAGGGGACACAACTCAGCCTGTAACAAAATCCGTAATAAAATATTATGTAATTGTTCCGCTTTTCAATATATCAGCCATAGCGTCTGGCTCCATTATCTCAGTGCCTCTCAAAAGTTAGATGCACTTATGAATGCCCTGGCAATCTTGTCAAAAGTGCAGACTGTGACTCATTAGTTCTGGGAGGGATGTGGATTCTGCAATTCCATCCAGCTTCTAGTGAGACTGATGCTCTCACTGATATCCACACTTTGGACCACAAAATGGACCATGCTTTGGACAGTAGTAAAACACTGCAAGACAGGAAGCAGTCAGATCCTTGTACACATTGTAATCAAAAGGATTGGATTTGAGGAGCACGTGGGTGGCTCAGTCAGTTAAGCATCTGACTTTGGCTCAGGTCATTATCTCCCAGTTTGTGGGTTTGAGTCCAGCATCCAGTTCTGTGCTGACAGCTCAGAACCTGGAGCCTACTTAAGATTTGGTGTCTCCCTCTCTCTCTCTGCCCCTCCCTCACACTGTCTCTCTCTCTCTCTCTCAAAAATAAATAAAAACATTAAAAAAAAAAAGGATTGGATTTGAGATATAACAGGACTAGAAGATAGTCCATGCGAAAAAAACAGAAAAATTAAACAGCAGAGGAACAAATGTGATTCATATTTGAAGATGACAAGAGAAAGCGATTCAAATAAATTGATGATAACATGCCAAGACAACATACTGTCTTCGTGGAGAAAATGAGAAGGTACCATATCCTTGCCAAATGAAGACGTGAATAGGGTTAATGTACCCCATCAGGGCTGTCCGATTTCTAAAACTGCGAATTCGCAAAACACTTTTTCACGCCACTGCATCATTTCAACAATACTACAAGTGATACAACGGGAGGCTTATCGTATATCATCAGTGATAACAGATACATTTTTAAAATGGGAAATTATTCAATCAGCACTAACAGCTCCCTTTCCAATTTATTTACTGCCAATTTTTTTTTTTAGTATTTATAATCATGCATCACATACAGAGGAATCTCAGACTTAGTAAATTATTCAGAGACTATGTCTTTAATTCATTTGGGTTTCCTTGTCCATACCACCTTCTCCAAAATTACAGGGATTTTTTGGTAACTTTTCTTAGAACAACAACAACAATAAACTCTCCATTATTGGGGCGCCTGGGTGGCTCAGTCAGTTAAGTGTCCAACTTTGACTCAGGTCAGGATCTCGCAGTTCACAAGTTTGAGCCCCGTGTCAACCTCTGTGCTGACAGCTCAGAGCCTGGAACCTGCTTCGAACTCTGTGTCTCCCTCTCTCTCTTTGTCCCCCTTGCCCACCCCCACCATGCTCTGTTTCTCTCTCTCTCAAAAAAAAAAAAAAAAAAAACCACAAAAAAACAAAAAACAAAACATAAACTCTTCACTATTAAAACATATCAAATTACCATCGATTTATATTTGTAGTGCGTTAACGCTGGTGGAAGACAAGCAAATCATACAAACTGAAGGTAACTTTCTTGTGTGAGACCTCCCCACACCCTACAGGAGGTTTAGCATTCCCGGTTCCCGCTCACTATAAATACTGGTGTTGAATCTTCCAATCCTTGTGAGGGATACAAAGATCTCAACAGATGGCCAAAACTTATGAGCATGTGGACCGTCACCGCATAGATCATCAACTAGACTACACTTTACATCTTGAAGATTTAGTGCAATTGCCAAATGCCTGACTTAAAAACCAAAACATCAAATATACCAAAGCAGGAAATGCTTCACAGCTATCTTGTAATCCAAAAGTTTCATGCAGAAAGGCCAAGCCCCAGAAAAGTCTGACATATTCACTCAGGGTTTATGAGTGCAAACCTCAGGTAGGTAGTTGGCTAGCCAGTGAGCTCTGAAAGTTCTTCCCTTATAACCAGAAATACAAGAACAACAGCCTCCACTCTTTTTGTAACCTGTTTTACCCGGCTCTGAGCCTCTTTCACTCAGCTGAAAACAACATACCTGGAGACACTTTGTTTAAATTCACCGGCCTGCCAGACTTTGTAGCGTACCTTATGGAAAGATAGGGCCATATTTCGTAACATAATTTCCATGCTTAATTACCCTGCCCTGAATGAGGTAACTTCAGGGGACCATCTGTTCAGAAAACAACTGGATGAACACTTCAGAGAAAATATGTGAAAGGGTAATTAATGTGGCAAGCTAAACAACAATAAGACATACAAAAACATATTTGGTTCATTTGGAAGATCTCATCTGACACTTCTTTTACCATAGCATCTGTACAAAATCATGTGATGTCTGTATCAAGCCCTCTAATTTGCAAAGCTGTGGTCTTGCCAACAAATTAGTAAACTCTGGCTTATTTGTCCATGTGGATATTTGACCCTGAGATCAAAAGCTGGATTGATTAGTAGCATGAATAAGTTAACTCTTCATAGCCTGACTAAATTATGAAAAAAATATTCTAGCAGTGACTTCCTAGATTCACAAGATGCCCTTGTTTTTTCAGTTCATTTATCTATTTTGAGAGACAGAGAGAGGGTTGGGGAGGGGCAGAGAGAGAGGGAGAGAGAGGGAGAGAGAGAGAGAGAGAGAGAGAGAGAGAATTTCAAGCAGGCTGTGCACTGTCAGCACAGAGTCCGATCTGGAGTTCAATCTCACGAAACCCTGAGATCATGACTTGAGCCAAAATCAAGAGTCAGACGCTTAACCGATGGAGTCACCCGGGTGCCTCACAAGATGCTCTTTTTTAATATAAGTTAAAGCCACGTAATTTTACAATGACTGTCACCAACAGACTTCAGTTTACTCCAGACATTAAAGTAAAAGGGTCACATTTTAATTGTTTGCTACGTCTGATTGTAAGATATCCACCTGTGCCCTGTATATGTAGAATAAAATCTGTAGGACTAAGCCACAACATACTGATAGTACTTGTCTCTAGAAGCTGGAATTACATGTAGTCTTTATTTTGTTCTTTCTATTTTGCTGTTTTTTTTTCTAAAATATTTTCAATATGCACATTTTACTTTTGTAATCAGAAATACATGAGGGGCGCCTGAGTAGCTCGGTCAGTTGAGCATCCGACTTCAGCTCAGGTGGTGATCTCACGGTTAGTGGGTTTGAGCCCCACGTCGGGTTCACTGCTGTCACTGCAGAGCCTGCTTTGGATCCTCTGTCCCCCTCTGTCTCTGCCCCTCCCCCACTCATACATGCTCTCTCTCTCTCCCAAAAATAAGCATTAAAATAATAAAAAAAAAAATACATGAAGAACAGTTACTTTAAGAAATATAATGCATTACCAGCAGAATGTTGACCAAGGTGGTTGTTTAAACATGTTTTACTGAATGGAAATAAATGCACCCTATAACAGGAAGTGCTGAGAACATAATGCACTGGAAAGATTAAAACCACAGACAATGCCAAGCATTACCTGGGAAAATGAAGGGCTTAGATAGTGGGCAGATAAAATATCTGGCGTGGTGCCTAGGTGGCTCAGTCGGTTAAGCACCTGACTTCGGCTCAGGTCACGATCTCACAGTTTGTGAGTTGGAGCCCCATCTCAGGCTCTGTGCTGACAGCTCGAAGCCTAGAGCCTGCTTCGGATTCTGTGTCTCCCTCTCTCTGTCGCTCCCTGACTTGCACTCTGCTTCTCTCTCTCAAAAAAAAAAATAATAATAATAATAATAAACATAAAAAAATATATATCTGGCAATAAAAGTCATAATGCAGCATTTAAACAAAACCTTTACTATTACGAATTATGTTTAGGAGTGCCTGGCTAGCTCAGTTGGTAAAGCATGTGATGCTTGATATCAAGGTTGTGACTTCAAGCCCCATGTTGGGTACAGAGATTATTAAAAATAAAAATCTTAGGGGCGCCTGGGTGGCTCAGTCGGTTAAGCGGCCGACTTCGGCTCAGGTCACGATCTCACGGTCCGTGAGTTCGAGCCCCACATCAGGCTCTGTGCTGACAGCTCAGAGCCCGGAGCCTGTTTCAGATTCTGTGTCTCCCTCTCTCTCTGCCCCTCCCCCGTTCATGCTCTGTCTCTCTCTGTCTCAAAAATAAATAAACGTTAAAAAAAAATTTTTTTTTAAATAATAATAAAAATCTTAAAAAAACCGAATTAAGCTGAAAACTGAAGGGGAATGGGGGTGCTGAAGGAACCTAAGGACCCTCTGCGATGAGACAGAAGCTCCAATGTCAGATTCATCTCCTTAGAATGCTACCGACCTTCAAAGACCATTTTAAACGAGGCTTTCGGTCCCAGCCTCCTGTAACTTTCAGAGTAGGGTACTGGCATCTTGCTTACCCCACCCACGTTATCCTATTTAGTTATTTTGGAACAAATTCAAAGGTTTTCCTCCCCGATTCCCCCTTCAGGGCTCAGGAACCCATAGCCCTGCTGTTGGAAACATTGACAACAATTGGCATCAGCTGCTGGGAGCTGCCTCTCCCAAGATTACGTCCCTCCCAGATGGTAGCCCCGGGCCAACGACTGGTTACTGAAGTTTCCTTGCCTCAGCTGGGGACAATGCCGAAGAATTAAACCAGCTCCGGAGTCCCCCACCCAACTGCAGGACAGGCCAAGGCTTCGGCTGCAATTTACGAGGTGGGTTATCTCCCTCTACTCGACTCCGCCTTCTCTGCTTCCCGGCAGGTGTATCTCCTGAGAGCACTCCCTAGTAAACCTTCTGCACTCATTTTTGTCTCAGTGTCTATTTCCAGAAAACCGCATCCAAAATTGTTGGCAAACGGCCACCTGGGTGGCTGGGTCGGTTGAGCGTCTGACTCTTGATTTCAGCTCGAGTCATGATCCCAGGGTTGTGGGATGGCACCCCAAGTTGGGCTCTGTGCTAAGCATGCAGCCTGCTTGAGATTCTCTCTCTCTCTCTCTCTCTCTCTCTCTCTCTCTCTCTCTCTCTC